TAAACCACAAAAAGGAACCACCTAGGAGCCTATGGGTAGGGTTCAGGGTCTAGGGTTTAGGATGAAGGTTGCGTAGGCGCTGGCCGGCAGCTCAGTCTGTGCTTAGAAAGGGGTTATGGGGTTAGGGTTTATAGGCTACTAAACTCTTATCGTTAAGTATGCAATGTCCAGGGACGAGGTTCTTCCGCAGTATCCACTTTGCCTGGTTTCGGAGTCTTAGGAAAAGGGCACCTATATGCATAAGGGGACGCTGGGGAGCCTGGGGGATTAGTTCGCAGGTCTTGGGTTCAGGGTGCCCCAGAGGGTTCGGGGCAGATTGGGATTAGAGATTTGGTTGATCATCGCATCAGGCATTGGGGGTAGGCTTTCGGGCTTTGGGGTCCCCGGCTGCTGATGCTGTTCTGTTTTGGAGAGTTGCGGCTGTTGCAGTAGATTAGTCTTGACACAGGCGATTCGAAAAGTGATTTTCATCCGGAGCACTGGAACAAGTGCACTCATCGAGAGTCTCTGACAGATGCAGGCCCGATCACACACATGCCCGCCGGCCACAACTTGTCTTTGTCTCTCTCTCACCTTGTCTCTGTCTCTCTCTCTCGCTCGTTCTCGCTCTCTGTTTGCGTATAAGTCTTTTGCCGACGGCGTCGTGCGGAAGCCGCCAGTGTTTTCTCCGGGTGAGGGCGCAGTACCGTCGAATTTTTGGACACTATAGTTATGGGGATAATTGGAAAGATTTCTCGTAGGGCTTCCGCAGAAATAGGATAACATACCCAAACCCTATTCCCAATGCATACAGTGTACTGGCTGGCTTGTACATCTGGTCTTCTTGCATGAAGGAGGCGGCATATGTGCTGAGCCCCGTGAGTGCAAATCTGCAACTGTCCCACGAGCCTGCCAACAATCTCCTGTTCCTGGGATGCAATTTCCCTTCCGCACTTAAATAGGTAGAAGTATCGGGTTGGGGGGGGGCTGGCTAACCGTTTACTAAACCCTGTAAGCCCTAAAAACCCTATTTGTGCACCGCCCTAAACCCTATTTAATGGGGCAGAACTAGGACATCTCACGAAATTCGGGGAGGCCTTGCGAGTCGATTTGGGTGTGTTCGCAGGGTTTTTGAGCTTCTCTGCAGGGCTTTGGGGACACCCGTCGCACTCAGCAGGAGGTACGCGGTTGAACGGTTCAGGGCATCTTGCAGGTTACTCCCGTTTCTTGTCTATGCCGCTCAGGAGGCTTACAGGCATTGTCCTTCAATCTGAGACATATACATCTTGACAATCCGAGCCCTCGGCGCCGTGGCGTGTTTGGGGTGCGACCCGCAGAGTAGCCTCTATAATGGAAGAGCAGGCAATGCGCCTGTTTGAGCCGAGAGCCACACAGGCTTCGAGCAAAGAGCAGTCCAAAATGCGACTAAACCCTAAAAGCCCTAAACCTTAGACCCTTAAACCCTAAACCCTAAACCCTTAAACCCTTAAACCCTAAACCCTAACTAAACCCAAAGGAAGATCAAGCTCATGGTCGCCACAGAGGAGTTGGCTGAGGTCTTCCTCCGACGGTCTCAGGCAGGGCCCACACGTGCAACTCACGACCAGCTGAAGTCGAGTCAGGTACGGTGTTCCATCATTGCTAAGAGAAATTAACAATGTACTGCCTTTTTGTCGCAGTATTCCCTCATGATCACAACACGCCTGCCCGCTTCGATATTGTGGTTTTCGCGTTGGTGTTGTTTTCGCATGCGGCTCACTACAAGCTCAAGCCCAAGTCCTTGAACCCTAAACGCAAAGACCCTGTCGCGCAGGTGAAGCATCTTCGAAGCATCAAGAGCCCCTGGGATGTTTAGAGAGTCCTCTGCAAGTAGACGTCGTGTCTAAGGAGTTCCCACTCGTCTCAAACCGTAAACCCTAAACCCTAAGCCCTAAAGTAAACCCGTAACCCTAAACTAAACCCTAAGTTTAGGGTTTACTAAACCCTAAGCCCTAAAGCCTGTCCACACCTTCTATGGTAGCCCTTCGACCTTCGATGGTTCTTGGATGTGTTACAACGGCTCATGGTTTAGGCTTTAGGGTTTAGGCTTTAGGGCTTAGGGTTTAGGGTTTAGGGTATCTTTGAGACCCGTGGTGATTTCTGGATTCGAGGCCTTTCGCGGCCAGCCGAATACCAAGCGTTCTTGGAGTTCTTATTATAGGGGTACCACGTACAAGCCAGGAACGTGACCGTAAGCATACTTCATAAGCCATATTAGGGGACTTATCACCCCACTTATACCTACCCTAAGCTCTAAACCCCAAACCCTATAGAACCCCATAGAACCCTTAAAGGAACCCCTTAAACCCCAAGCCCTTCCTCTTCGGCCATGGTGTTGAGGTGACCTCAATGAAGAGGCACGAAAGTTTCACCTGATGCTGGTGCCGGAGGCGGATCAGAAGGAGATCAACCAGGACCCGGGGGCTGTACGGATTTGTACAGGGTCTTGGGGTTTAGGGCTTAGGGCTTATAGGGCTTATAGGGCTTACAGGGCTTATAGGGCTTGTGGGGCTTATAGGGCTTATAGGGCTTATAGGGTTTAGGTTCCATTTTCCCTGAGTTTGCCGCCCTTGAGCTCAGAGAACATCCCTTCTGAGTTGCACAGCCATTGCGGAACATGCTCCGGTCACCTTCCTTGGCTAGCTTGACCCCGGAAGGCTAAAGATCACCCTCAGCCCGCAAGCTCCACATGCCAAACAGCAAGAACATCCGGATTGACGACTTAGAGTTTTCTAGGCGGCACTCTGTGGCATACTCTTATGTTTCCCTTGTGGTCGTAGGAAGGCGCTTGTCCACAGCTGATACTGGGGGGCCTTAAAGCTGCAAACCCAGGAAAGCGTTTGGGGTTTAGGTTTGGGGTTCCCTAAACCGTATAAACCCTAAACAGGACGCCGGTGACTCGACCGATGAGTATAGCCAACTCTATGAGCGATCCATTGCGGAGGCGTGGCGGACTGCTGTGGGATTTGTTATGAGGTTCCGGTAATATACCGTGTCCTTCTCAAAAACGCAAGCAACTACGCATAGTGCAAAATGTCCCAAAACCCTATTGTAGCCATGCCTTACAAGCCTTACAAGAGCCGATAGAATTATATAGCACCCTTGAAGAATCGCGGTTTGGGGTTCGTCAATCAGGGTTTGGTGCTTGGCAAAGGGTTTAGTTTGGGGGCAGGATCCCTAAACCCTGAACCCTAAACCCCTAAACCCTAAAACCTACAAACCCCCAAACCCTAAACCCCTAAACCTGTAAAAAGCCTGAGTTAACGGTTTTGGGCTCAGAGTTTGGTTGCGCAAGCTGGGCATGAGGGCAGGTGTTAACAGAGGTTTAGGATCCAGGGTTTGGAGTTTATGGTCTTTAGGATTTAGGATCCTCCGGGGGTTTGGGCTCTATGGTCTAGGCTACAGCGAACTGTGGTCCTCCTAAGAGGAACCGGCTTTAGGACGCAGGATCCGCCCCCCTTAAGCCCAGAATTCCTGCTTTTTGGTCCGAAGATAATTTGCTCAGAACCCCCTCGGAGATCGTACGCCACGAAGTGAAGTGAAT